ATCTCGCAACGGAGGAGAGAGAGAGAGTTTCACGACAGAGCAGAGAGAATTTCAGAGCAGAGAAAATCTCACAACGGAGGAGAGAGAGAGAGTTTCACCACAGAGCAGAGAGAATTTCAGAGCAGAGAAAATCTCGCAACGGAGGAGAGAGAGAGAGTTTCACGACAGAGCAGAGAGAGAACTTCAGAGCAGAGAAAAATTCACAATAGGGCAGAGAGAATTTGACGACAGAGCAGCGAAAATCTCACGCCAGAGCAGAGAGAATTTCACGACAGATCACAGAGAGAACTTCAGAGCAGAGAAAATTTCACAATAGGGCAGAGAGAATTTCACGACAGAGCAGAGAAAATCTCGCGACAGAGCAGCGAAAATTTCACGACAGAGCAGAGAGAATTTCCCGACAGATCAGAGAGGATTTGAGAGCAGAGAAAGTCTCACAACAGAGCAGAGAGAATTTCACGACACAACAGAACAGACTCAACAGAGAGAATAGAGACGTTTTCACGACAGAGCAGAGCAGAGAGAAGAGAAGTAAACCTTTCAGACCAGAAAAACAGACACAACGTCACCACAAAAAAATGTAATATCAGAGCAGAACACAGAGAGGAAACAAGAGAGAAATGAAATGGAGGTGCTCGCTCACCTGGAGAAAGTGGGCCGCGACACATGGAAGGACCAGCAGTCCTGCTTGGCCCAGGACACCGCCCAGCTGATCAATAACTGCGACTGAGACAGGCAAAGTTTTCTGGAACAAGAGCGGGGGGGGGGAAAAAAAAAAAACGAAAAAAGGAAACATCTGCTTCAATTAATAAAACATAAAATAAAATAAAAAACGAATAAGGAAACATCTGCTTCGATTAATTAAAAAAACAAACAAAAAAAACGAGAAACGAAACATTTGCGTCAATTAATTCAAAAAAAAAAAAAAAAAGTTTTAACTGTCTACTTAGATATGCAGAGGAGGCTTGAGGATCAGCAGCGGGGTTTAGGGTTTAGACTGAGTTGGCGGCAGCCACAGCTTCTCAGTCCTTTCTTGCTATTCATGTTGTATCTGACAGGCTCCTTTAGTAGTCCTGAGAGGAAAGATGGAAGCAAGGCAAGCT